CTCCAAGCCATGCACGCTTAACTGTAGAGTTTCTAACGATGGACTTCCGAAAAAGAAGGTGCACCTTGTTAGTATGAGTAGTATCTATCAAATCTTTTAAACTTTCATGGTCTGGGTATTACAGGAACATATTCTAAATTTTGGCAGGTCGACACAAAGTTTTGATCAGTGTAGTTTTTACTCCATTATTTTTGGTTTAAGGGCTTGAGGGGTGATAACATTTTGTTTGCTTATTGGATATTTTGAATTGCCCTGAAATTTAGAAGAGAAGGAGCAAGGAAGTAATGGCAGTCTGGCAATCTTTGCTTCCTTTCTATTTGTTGTTTATGTCCTCTACTATCTCGCTCTCATCTCCATATAGATCATGTTAGGCTAGTTTAAAAGCCTTTCCCCCCTTTTAAGAGGCTTTTAGCCAAACATGCAGTATGCCAGATGAGTCTCCATACATAGATGGTATCCTGCTTATAGGAATCTTACACATTATCTTGCTAACAGTTCCCCGACAAAGACCAAATGTTTTTTTTTTTCCGTTTGACTTACTGAATCAATAATTTTTATATTTGAAGTCTCAATTGTGTTCACCTTGTTTTCTAGTATTTGGAAGTTCCTAAAGAATATTTCATCAATTGCAGGCTGAGCAGAACAGGAAGAGGTATAAACAGGTACAATTTTGACCCTTTGTAGCTAAATGCACTTTTTCTTTGTCCTTTATTCCTTAATTTTTTAGGATGTAAGAGTTAAATGTTATTTAGTTTACATCTCTTTCACAACTCTCTTTGACCGCTTACTTTTGAGTTTTGAGCATTAGAATTGTGCAATGTACGCTTGTTCAAGTGTAAATAATTTTCTCAAGGGAAATTTGCAGACAACTCAAAGATTTTCCAGATGTATGTCATGCCTTGAATGTCAATGCATGTCCTCCATTATACAGCTGATGGAGACAACTGACTGTTTCTTTGAGAATATGAAATACTACATCTTCAATTAAATCACATGTATAAGGTGATCTAGCCACGAGTTCATAACAAGAATATGGTATACACATGAGTTTACCTGTTCCATATGCTTTTACATGTGTATATGTTGATCTAGCCATGAGGTCATAAGCATATGCTTGTTCCTGCGTATATGCATATATATGGTAAAAGCATATATGTTACACAAACTCACGTGAAAAAAAAAAAAACATATTCTTGTTTTTAGTGTAAAGCAAAAGCATATGCATATGCTTTACACTTAAACATCTGTTGGATTTCTTTACCTTTTCTGCCACAGTAATATGTATTTTACTGAAAATAAGGAAACTAAAATAATTCTCGTTTTGCCTTTGACAAGTTGTTGTAAATAAAATATCTAATTTCATTTTACATATCACTGTAATTGTAGTACTGATTTTTATGACCCGTATTTGGCTGGAGGATACTAGCACACCTTGTGACATCATAAGTTATGTTTATTATCAATCATATTTTCCACAAACTGTCATTCTATAGCTTTCCTCAATCTGCATGAGCATTCATACTTATAAAGCAATGTGCATGACCTAATTGCTGAATGTAACTGTTGATGATAACAGGTGTTCCATGATATATAGAGCAAATTAAGGATGCGCATAACTGACTCTCCTTCATTTGTTCTGTTTTATTTGAAATATTGTGGGTGTTCAGTTGTACGTCTTTTGTTACCTAATTGAGTGATTGAAGTACAGAAAAGTTAATGTAGAGGTTCTCAGAAACTTCTATATTAATGTTTATGAACGTGTATAAGATGATTTTACGGTGGCATCGTAAAAGTTTGGAGTAGCCAGAACTATACTTGTAGGATAGTTCAACCCATTTGTGCACGTTTCTCCTGTATAATGTGCATGCTGAAACATTTGTCTCTCTTTCTTGTTAATGTTGTATGCTACTAATCAGTATACTTTTGACAACTTTGATCATAATTTAAGAGAGAATTATCAAATGGAGTTTGATTAGAAGGTAAGATGGGAATCATAAAACTGTCAGTCATGCTTGGACACAATAGAAATGCATCCAGATACACTTTTTTAATGTCTTGAATCTTTCTGAAAAAGAGTAAGGTTTTTTCACATCCTCTTCCTGCTCTGAACCTAAAATTGTCAAGTTATAGCTATTGCCCTGAAATGTTGCTTATGGAGGCATTATTT